CCAGTGCCGAGGACCCCCGTCCTTCTGCTACTTACGTTGGGGGGACTTTCAGCGTGGTATTCGTGACTTTGATCTTTGGGGGATTGGTACTCATGGATTTTCCAGTCTTGATGGAGTTGGTGAAAAGGATGATGGCTTTCTTCAAGAAAATAACTTAACATGTTGGATTTAAAAGCCGATATTTATAAGAGATCTTAACAGGTTGGGGGGTAGTCCGAAATATCTGACGTTTTCCTGGCTTTTTTACTATTTTTATATTTTACGTGCCAGGAGAACGTCAGAACCGGTGCCATTACGAAAACTGGAAATTTCGTCGTCTCCAATCGGAGTTGATTTTCGATACCTGGGAACTGAATTAAATGCCGTTTTTACAATTTATCAATAGCACAATGCTTCTAGTACTCACCAATATCGATAAAAAGAAAACAGCACTCATCATTTCGATACAGGACTTGAAAGATTTGAAAATGCACGAAATGAAAACAAATCTCGACATTCAGATAAAATGTTTTCATCGGATTGTATATTTTAGAAACAAACCATAAAAACGATTTTGATGAGTACTAAAAGCATTGATCTATTGATAAATTGTGAGTTTGACATTTCATTCGCTTTGCAAGTATCGAAAATCAACCCGAGAATGCCGCCTCTGGTTGGAGGCGGCGAATTCCCAGTTTTCGTAATGGCGCCGGTTCTAACCTTTTCCTGGCACGTAAAATATAAAAATCGTGAAAAAGCCTGGAAAACGTCAGATATTTCGGACTAGTTGGGGGGAAACGTAAATTACGCTAAAATAGTGATATATCACTATTATAATGAGATTCCATTACAATTTCAGGATGACAGTCGTATTAATCCTCGATTTAATTAAATAACATGCTTGCTGTTTAAAGCGCAAGTCATGGTGGGTATAAAAATGGACATTAATTAATTGGCACCCTTACATTTATTAAATTTTATGCCGATGCGTTTAATAATGCGAACACACTTTTTAAAATGTAAGTTACATTTTTAGCATAGCAACCAGTGATTGTCGTAGTATTCAAGAAAGACTGAATCTCAATTTTTCTCACACGTGTCAACAGAAAACTTTCAACCCGCATTGAAAGAGGTTTGTCGAATTTACTAAAGAAAAGATGATTTTTGTCTGCATGTTACGGGTATATGGAGGCCCGTTGTGATAAATGGAAGAAGTTCATTACGTTACATGTATATATTTTACTCACGGAATCAAATTTGTATATCTTAATTGCAATAAATCGTTCTGTGAAGCATTAAAGTAAATAATCCGGGTAATGGTTAATTTACGATACATTTTCATGCAACAAAAATTACGCGAAATATAGCTGCAGTTTCCAAAAATAAATCATAATTGTATTTAGGCGTTTTTTATAAGGATTAGTCCCATCTTTTTTGCCATAACTATTCCAATGGGCAATACTTATTGTACATTTGTTATTTCTATGTCAGTATTCTTAGTCACATTTATCTTTGTGTACATGTAATGAGATATATTTTACGTGAGATTTACTGTCCTATTTTGTGCCTTAGAATTTTTACGAGTATCATATGTACTTTTAAGATTGGGAAACATTTTTGGCATTTTCAATAATAAATGCTCTTTTTCGACAGACTCGGTGTTATGTTAACTGTTTGGCAAAAAACAGAGCAGAGTGGACTCATGGCTAAAAAAGTACCTCTATTATATTAGAAGAGGATGGTATAATGATTGGTGTTGCCACAATTATATATACTGATTGGTGTTGCCACAATTGCATGTACTGATTGATGTTGCCAAAATTTCATGTCGTGATTGGTTTTGCCTCAATTACTGAAAGACCTTACTGAATGTACACTGGTATATGTGTAATGGCGTTTACATTAAGAAACACCTTCTTCTCCGCCAGAGTAGCATGGCTTCATTCCGGATGTTGTGGACACAGATATTCATAAGGCATAAGTCAGTAAAGTACAGGTTTTTTTTTTTTTTATATCTCATCTTAATTTACGAGATGTATTCGTCAGAAATACTACAGTTTTATATAAGGATTTATTTTCATTCACCCATAGACAAAAACATACAAAGGATCTTATTTTTAAAGTCTCGGATTTTTTTTTAATTGATGTATGTACAAGCACTAAGTCTTAATAAATACGTTGTCAACAAAATATCTTCTTACATCATGCCCTTTTTCTGTATTTCTACAGCACAAAATTTTGAATCGACTTCCTTTTCCTAAAAATGTTATACTCTCTAAAAAAGATCTCCAAAATTCTACTTCCATAAATCATTCATTCTTAAATGCACAATGAAACATGGGATGCTAACGAGTACGGTCTTTACAACTTTTGCTGAAGCCATGGTGTCCGGTTTCTGAGTTGACTTACATATACATGTATGTAGTTAACGTTGTACAAGTGGACTGTAAATCTATAAATCGTAATTCCTCTTGGGTTTGAGCAGTCACGGCTGTGTCGTTTGAATTGTATAAACCTATACCCATATTCATATATCATGGATGCACTTGTTAGTGATCTTTTTCATTCTTTATTTTACAAGCTCCTTAGAATAACGCTGTGCCGGTTTAGATCAAAATTATAAATCATGGATTTTAATTAACAATAATTTATGAAAAGAGGTTTTTCATATAAAAAAAAATGCATTTCCAGTCTTGAATATGACATCCTAGGACAAACAAGAGGCCCATGGGCCACATCGCTCACCTGAGCACATTGGCTAGGAAAAAAAGCAAAAATCAGTACAGTATTGAAAAGTTTACAGGGAGGGGGGTGTTGAATTTTAAACTACCTGATGATGCTTTCATATCAATATAACAAATGGCTTTGTTGTTCTTGAGCAGCAGATTTTTTTTCCCATATATTCATTTGTAAAAATTTGATCCCCCATTGTGGCCCCACCCTACCCCCGGGGGCCCTCATTTGAACAAATTTCATTCTACACTACCGAAAGATGCCTCCATATCAATTTGACTAATCATGGCTTTTCTGTTCTTCAGAAAAAGACTTTTTCCTATATATTCCTCTGTAAACTTTGATCACCCATTGTGACCCCAACCTATCCCCGGGGTAATGATTTGAACAAACTTGAATCTTCACTATCTGAGGATGCTTCCATATAAATATGACCAATCATGGCTTTACTGTTCTTAAGAAGAAGATTTTTAAAGATATTTTCCTATATATTTCTATGTAAAACTTGGATCCCCCATTGTGGCCCCACCCTACCCCCGGGGGTTATGATTTGAACAAATTTGAATCTTCACTACCTGAGGATGCTTCCATATAAATATGACCAATCATGGCGTTACTGTTTTTAGAGATATTTTTCTATATATTTCTATGTAAAACTTTGATCCCCCATTGTGGTCCCACCCTACCCCCGGGGGTTATGATTTGAACAAATTTGAATCTTCACTACCTGAGGATGCTTCCATATAAATATGACCAATCATGGCTTTACTGTTTTTAAGAAGAAGATTTTTAGAGATATTTTCCTATATATTTCTATGTAAAACTTGGATCCCCCATTGTGGCCCCACCCTACCCCCGGGGATCATGATTTGAACAAACTACAATCTACACTACCTGAGGATGCTTCCATATAAATATGACCAATCCTGGCTTTGCTGTTCTTAAGAAGAAGATTTTTAAAGATATTTTCCTATATATATCTATGTAAAACTTGGATCCCCGATTGTGGCCCCACCCTACCCCCGGGGGTCATGATTTGAACAAACTTGAATCTACACTACCTGAGGATGCTTCCACAAGAATATGACCAATCATGCCTTTGCTGTTCTTAAGAAGATTTTTAAATTTTTTTTTCTATATATTTCTATGTAAAACTTGGATCCCCCATTGTGGCCCCACCCTACCCCCGGGGGTCATGATTTGAACAAACCTGAATCTACACTACCTGAGGATGCTTCCACAAAAATATGACCAATCTTGGCTTTACTGTTCTTAAGAAGAAGATTTTTAAAGATATTTTCCTATATATTTCTATGTAAAACTTGGATCCACCATTGTGGCCCCACCCTTCCCGCGGGGGTCATGATTTGAACAAACTTGAATCTACACTACCTGAGGATGCTTCCATAAAAATATGACCAATCATGGCTTTGCTGTTCTTAAGAAGAAGATTTTTAAAGATATTTTCCTATATATTTCTATGTAAAATTTGGATCCCCCATTGTGGCCCCACCCTACCCCCGGGGGTCAAGATTTGAACAAACTTGAATCTACACTACCTGAGGATGTTTCCACATAAGTTTCATCTTTCCTGGCCCAGTGGTTCTTGAGAAGAAGATTTTTAAATGATGCCATTATTTTTTCACTAATTCCTAATTATCTCCCCCTGAAAGAGGGCTTGGCCCTTCATTTGAACAAACTTGAATCCCCTTTACCCAAGGATGCTTTGTGGCAAGTTTGGTTGAATTTGGCCCAGTGGTTCTTGAGAAGAAGATGAAAATGTGAAAAGTTTACAACAACAACAACAACGCCAACGACAACAACGACGACAGACAACGGACAAATTTTGATCAGAAAAGCTCACTTGAGCCTTTGGCTCAGGTGAGCTAAAAAGGCGACAAGAACCATTTAAGATTCCCCTACATGGATAGATGTAAACAAGAGTTGCTTGAATTTTTTTCAGTAGTGAAAATATTTTAAAGATTCTAGAAAAAGAATTGGCCTGCCAAACTGTGCCCCCTCCCTAAATGTTTTAGCCGATATATATATATATATATATATATATATATATAGTTATACGTATTTCTACTTTCATATATATAAATTCGGGAATAGTTGAAAAATTAATTCATACTTTCATATTTCTTTTGTCTACACTGTTACACTGTGACTAAAATATACGGTACCTTGTACAATGATTTAACTTTAACCTCCAGAGTATTTATGTGAAATTTATCATGTAGAGCATGAACACTATGCTCGCCAATGATTTCAACAGAAGTAACGAATTAAGAAACATAAAAATCTTCTTTTTTTTTCATTTGAAGACGAGATTCATATACAATCGAAACAATTGTTATATATCACAAGAATAGATAAGGCATTTTCCTAAAGCAATTTCTCTTTTTCACTCCCATATTGAAATTCATGTTTCAATAAAGTTTCTTAAAATTTCTTTGACTAGAGGTTCAATTTCCTGTTCCATAGTTTGCACCTCCAGCCTTTACAACAGCATCACGAATCTTGTTTTCGGTTATATCCGAGACGTCATCAGCCGATACCTCGAGAGCAAAAATCTGTAACAAAAATATCGCTGGAATAAATAAATATTTCTCATATTTTAGAATCAATGACATCAAAATTGAAATAATAATTTAGAGATTCAAACTGTACACAGTAAAGGAACCTTTTCATTAAGATAAGAATTGCCCTTAAAAAATTTACGATCAGCTCAACTTCAATCGATTAACTAACAGTCATGATGATATGATCAGATATATCCATGCCTTTCCATTATGAATCTACGATCAGACATACCTTTGTGATGTTAAAGCACTAGCCTCTTCCTTGTTATTTTTCAATCAGACTTACCCTACGATGTTATTATCAGCCTTACCCTTATAATACAACAGACTTACCGTTAAAATATTATATTTACATCTGTAATGTTATACAATTATTGCTGTTTTAGAGGTCAATACGATGATTTAGCCACCTGATGATGTACAATATTCACAGAGCCCGAAGGGTTTTAGTTGCTATGAAAAAAAGAAATTATGTAAGGCTCTTTTACAGAATAAATTTTGAAAAGGAAGGGGGGGGGGGCATTATCAGGGAAAAATGACAGCTGAAAAAAATCTTTGATTAGCCCCCACAAAAAATGAATTCTTTTAACTTCAAATTTTGTTTTAGGTTTTGGTTGGGGGTTAGGGGTGGAGGATTAAGGTTCATTAGTGGGGGACCAGTCTTTCAATGAATATTTTTAGTCTAAATTAACACTTACTTATATCTATATCTGTGAAATATTTAATTACAAACATCATATTGACTATAACAACATTGTATCACGGGGATCGCCAGATTTCTTCGATTTATTGACCGCACAACCGATGAGTTGCTATATTCGCGCTTCAAGAGTAGTTGAAAGTTATTTTAAACTTCTTCATAAATCCTTGATTGTGAGACGTTTGTTTTTATTTTTTTTTTTCTTAAACTGTTGAAAATTGAAAAAATTGTATAATTGGAAAAAAGAAAAGGGTATTTTGCTGAGAAAAATAGTGAATTTGATGTAAATATAAACAATAAACTGCGTTTTATCGTCATCGTAGGGGAAATAACACTTGCCATCATTTCTGGAAAATGATGTGCATCATTAAATTTTCTGAAATGCTTGCAACCATTTGCCCTATGATGACATTTATTGCTTAAACAATCAGATTTACTTTATAATATTACACCCAGACTTACCCTTAAGAGTATTAATATTACAATCAGACTTACTTGATGGTCATAAATAAGACTTACCCTTATAATATTACAATCAGACCCCTTAATATAAACGAAAAAGGGCAAGGATAACGAACAGATATCGATCTCATAAAAATTACATGTACAAACAATACAAATATGAGAAAAGGGCATAAACACTGACCCCTGAAAATTCCGAAATGGGATACTGCCTTATAATTTAAAAACCAGACTTACCTTATTGTATTTCAATCAGATTTTTCCTTATAATATTACAATGAGACTTCCCTTCTAATAATACAATCAGACTTAGGTTACACTATCACAATCAGATTAACTTATAATATATCAATAAGTATTGCCTTATATTATTACAATTAGATCTACCTTATAAATTAATATTTTTAACAGATTTACCTTATAATATTTCATTAGACTTAACCTTATATAGAGTTGCCCTTGTAACATTACAATCAGACTTGTCCTTATAATATTACAATTAGTCTTATCTTGTAAAAACACAATCAGACTTATCTTAAACTATTATAATCAGACTAACTCAATATTACAATAAGTTTTATCGTATAATATAGTAATTAGACTTACCTTATTATTACCTTGTAAGATGTCAATCATATTTACCTTATAAATGATATTAGAGTCCGCCTTACCTTATGATATTACAATCAGACTTACCCTTAGAACTTCTTTTACGAAGGCTTTATCCGTTGATACTCTGGCTTTCTGCAATGGCTTTACATTTTTACCTATCCATGTAACTAAAGCAAATTTGGCACGCTTGCTCATTTCGTCCCCGGTTATCAGTCTGACATAGCCGAATGCACGTTCATCATCTGTACAATAAGGAAAAAAATCAATGATCCACTAATTAAATCCTGTAAAAATATGAATCATCAACACTGCATGAATAGGACAAAACACGGACCCCTTGACACACTGGAAGGGATCAGGAGCCTAGAAGAAGTAACCCCCCTCCCCCGGTCATACATGCCTTGAGCTCTATCTGTTGATTGGAAAAACAAAGTAATCTGTAGTCAATATAGTAGAAACAATGGCCTAACAACTGGTATGACAGATATCAGTCCAAATATAAATAAAACATTGAAATATAATATACCAAGGCGGTTGATTCGTACAAGTATTGCACCATCTTTCACATTTCTGCACATGATGCAAAATAAAAGTTAATCTAAATTTCCACTGGACCTATAAGGAAACTCAGTGAAAAGACAAAGCGCTGCAGAATTCCCGATTTTCTTTCAAAACAATTTCAACAGCGTCATGTGTTTATACTAGATGTAAAGAGTTTTGGATAACCTTCCTTTCCAAGTAGCACGTTGATTTACTTTGACTGTGCTGGAAACGATTATATCGTAAATTTGTGGGGGGGAAAACTGTTCTCATCATTTAAAATAATTTAAGATTCAGTCACTATAACAGAGCAATTTGTGTATCTCTGGCCCGGCCCGTGGAATATTTCAATCTCTAGGCCTGGAAATCACTTACGTAATGAGATGTTACAAGAAAGCAAATTGTTAAACAAAATGCAATAAGATTAGAAGTGCATAAACAGAATCTGTAAGCTTAACCGTAAACAGTTTGATTTGCGTGTGAGAAATATTCGTGAGTTTCGCTACCTTGCCTGTATTGCGAATATTTTTTTTCTCCGCGAACCGTTTATTTCACTGTGTAAAATGTTCCCGAGTTCGTGAAAATTAGTCGTCGCGGGTAGATTTGAGACTAACAAATCGCGAATAAAAGTTGTCGCTAATAGGTTTACGGTATTAACTTCATTAGCCTCGAGATTTATGATTTACTTCTCTTACAGATTTTTATGAACATTTTCATGTTGTTTATATAACGGTATATTTGTACAACACTCTATGAGCTTCAGTTGTGTCTTAAGCTTAGTACCTTCCGAGGTCTTTTGCCTCTGAATTTGACCTTAAAGATTGCATGGGTTTAGTACGACTTGACTTAACTCCGAGCTCAAGAATATATATTTATAAGAAACCACTTTATCCAATTATGCTGATTTATGATTACAACGATTTAAAACAATTCTGAACATGAACCCAGGTTTTTTTTTAATCTTTGTCTGCAGTCATACATGTAGTAAATATTTAATTATCTTTTCGTGAAAAAAAACAATTTCAAGAGAGTTGACCTTACCCTGAAATTTTGATTTAAATTCTTCGTAATCTGTGCCTTGTGAATCCACAGTTATTTCCGTGTCTGTATACTTCAGAACAAGCCTACGAAATGAAAATAAGGTTAAAAATAAGGATCGCATATATACAATAAAAACAAGACTTCGAGAAAGTTTTTATTCATTTCGACAAGTATAAAAATATCATGCAATAAACGAGCTTTTTAAGATTTCACAAGTATCTATCACTGGAAGACTTTGATTAAACACTGCACGTGAAGTGATACCTATTTTACTTTTGTGTCACATGAAATATGTTTTAATTTTATTGATAATCGACTGTATTTTTGTACACAGTGCACTGCTCACTTATTTTCATTCTATGTAACAAAAGTTAACATAAGTGTAGCTGCATAAGAACTTTTGTAGAGATTCAAGGCTACTATATACTAAAGTACTTAAAAGAAAACCCATATCAAAGGCTACGAAGTGTGGCAGGTACATGCATTTCTTCCCTTTGTAATGATTGTTATAATACTTTTAAAATCATGGAAAAAGAATGCTAAATATTTCTTTCTATCTTCAGTTTGCAAGTTGTAGTCCATATATGGTGCCTCTTGATAGTCCTACAGTTTCTTTCAAATTAATAAATCTAAAAAGTGCATGATAAGTTTTGCTACATTGAACGAGAACTATTCTAATTGTGTATGTAAAATTAAGTACATGTAATTACAAGCACATTATTAAATCTTCAATAACGGAATCTTAATCCATGTATAACCGGATTTCGATTTTCCGGGAACCACTCGTAACATATATTGTACATGTATAAATATATGTTATCGCCTGTACTGTCTTATGCATGGATTATGAAACTGTTATCTATTAATATCAATTTATTCCACATGAATATGAACGGAATATTAAAAATGTTTTGTATTTCGGTAATGTTTTGTAATTTTACATGTTTGAGACAACCTTGTTACATCAGGAGTAACCTCGATGTTAAGAATGTTGAAATTCGATATACTAGATGTACAACTTTAAGTTGTTAATGACGAAAATATACTAAATTTTTCGAAGAAGGCACGTCATATACATGTAAAACTGACCCATTACAGCTCAAACTGTGATAATTTACTTATATTGTTGTGTGTGCGCTCGCACTTGCTGATTTGTGTACGTGTATGTGAAGATCGATAGAAAAGCATAAACTATTATTTCTTTCGAAGGAACCCATACGTTATCTGTAATGTTTCAATGAAATATCAAAAGTACAGAATAAAAAGCTGATACTGTCCAGTCATTCTATTTCGTTGGAGTAATATTAAGGGCAATAAAAATGTAAACAGTTTAAACATTTTCTTTATGTTTTTCCTTTTTATAAGTTATAAAATAAAATCATGAGTTTAGATATTGAAATACATGTACAATTTTTACATATCCTTTCTGTTTTATGTATGTTAGGATATCTGCTCAATTCTATGAAGAGTCTGTGAGCTGATACACGTACAATGTAGTTTACATATTGACTCTCTGTATTCATGTTAGAATAAAGTTAGATATTAATTAATCTTTTAATGTTTCATATTTTTATATTCGAGATTGTTTTTAATGAATTCGAAGTTACAAATTACTGAGTAACTCATAGTATATGTCATTATGGTTTGAATATCAAGAATTTTTTAATAATTTTTTCTACCAAGGAATATCAAAATGTTTTTGAGTGAGATGAAGTTCCTTACTACATGTACGTATGAATGCATCTTTTAATGAAGGAAAATCTGTTGATGTTTTCTAATATAAGTATAAGGTAAAAATTATTGAAATAGAAATTTGTTGACAATTTCTCAAAATGTTTTCCTTATTTGTATTTCACATAATCGAAAAAGGAAGAATTGTTATAAGATTGTAAATACAGACACCTAGAACTGTTCAATATAGGTCAAACTTTGTAAGGACTTCCCTGAATTCAATTTCTTAAATATGCAAATAAAAAGTTGAGAACACAACTTGTATAATTAGTTTTTTAACATGCTGTAAAAATCTCGGTTTTTACAACATGTTCAAGATGTATACATTTTATTTATTTAGGTGAACAAAGCGAATGTAAAGAAATTTATGATAACATTAAATCAGTTCATCTTTACACTTAAAAAGGGTAGCATATACTTTAAATGTTTACACTCATTTTATACAACCCGAGCACAAAATATCTGATTCTTCCGAGTTGACTCGTCAATGCGGATACAACTAATGCCCCTCTGGATAACGGTAATCAGAGGGGATATTTCCGGTCGCTCTCGTGGCATCCTTAACGTTATGGTAAGTCAAGTGTAACAATTCGCCGGTGAATAAGGGACGAGTGTTTGTGACAGATTTGTATACAGGAAGCACATACAGAAATGTCTATATAAGGAAAAAAATACTACAGTACTTTACTCAGCACAAAAAATCTCACCCCACCAGACTAACAAACATTGTATTTGAAAATAAAATAATTAATAATAATTTAAAACTCCGCGCAAACTTACTCTGAATTTTTTGTTTTCAATGATAAAGCCATATAAGGCATTGTTGTTAAATATTTCCTATTCAAATTCGTAGTAAAAATGAACGTGATTGTTCACTTTGAAAAAGACAATAACTTCCTATTGATAAGATTAACCTGCAACTCTATTTTTCCCCATGCTTTGAAATATTTCTTTATAGATATGTATAGCATTATACAATTTTAAATCATGATATGTATATTTATTTTCTACAGACTTTGTTGTACTAAATATAAAAAAAAAATATCATGGTATTTGTATAACTTGCAGAATCAGCAAATTTTCAAAAATAATAGCATTAAACCCAAATTTTTCATTGATTATTCCCCATTCAGAAAATTGTCCCGTTACTAAAGCAAACCTCACTTAAATTAGTTTTTTAAATTAATTGTAGAAAGGTATTTGAGAAAAAAAGCTCTTAATTTCCATCAACATTATCAAAGTTTTACTGAGGCACAAATATATTTTTTTAAATGCAAAACCGTATCTAAATAAGGACTGAAGTATATATTTTTGTGTATTTTCCTCAACAATTGTTTCAACAAATGCAACTGCAGCACTTTTCTTTAGCGGTACATCTAGATTCCACCACGCCCCGGGTATACAGAAAGATACTTAACTTTTATTAATAAACAATTGCAAATGAACTCACCAATTAGTGTCGTTATTGTCATCTCGAACTGCTTCATAAACAGGCGTAATATCATCTTTATTCACGACAACCATCTTGCAATCTTGATTTTGAGCAAATGGAATGCGCTCTACATGTAACTCAGGAACTAGAAAGCTGTAGTGAGGCGAGCCCTCACTTCCGCTTATACTTGTCACACATTTTAGATGCGCGGTGTGTAAGGACGTGTTATTGTACAACTTGTTGTGTCGTGACAATTTGTTTTCCTTACTCGATAGGTTTTATTGCTTAACTTAATGACCCTTATTTGTTGGGGGTGTTGTCTGCGTGGATTCAGAGATTTTAAAGGACATGACAGGTGATCGTCATTATGGTCCCTTTCCATTAACTGGCAGTTTTACATTAAGAAATTTTACTCGGACATTACGAAAACAGCTAGTTTAGTGTAAGATTGGGGCATGGTGTTTACTTTTTAGAACGAAAGACTTCCCATAAACATTTCTCTTAAGTGTACACAATTAACCTAATTCCTTCCCCTCTAGATAAGATCTGCAATAGCCACAGGTAAATTTTACTAAGTCAGTAACTGGAAACACATAGTCCACCTTAAAATACAGGAAATGAAACGTTACTGAAAATATCCGTCCAGATATATTGGTTGAAATGACGTTTTTTGCTACAGACAAATGGACGAATCGAACTTTTCACATGCCGATACCTTGAATCTTTGTCACATGATAATGCCAATGTTTTCGTTGTGATAGACTTGTATCACAGAAATTCAAAGTGCAGAAAAAATATCATTGTGTCATTAGCAGCTGCAGTGTATCCAAAACAAAATTGACTTCTTCTAATTTTTTTTTCAATATTTATTCATCATTTTGGCACTGTAATTAATATCCGGGAGCACATTACGTTTTGTGTTTATATCTTACACACACCCATGCTGGAAAGGTGTCCGTGTAGCAACCTTTTTATAAAATTAATAAATATCTGATGAGAAATGAAAAATAAATTGAAACGTAATTAAAAACGTTTAGACTTCGTAATAATCACATTTTAAAAAATTTATTTACAATTTTTATTTATGTTATCAATAAGGAATTATTCTATAGAAACAATGAAAAAATAAAGTTTCATTTCCTCATGTGTACATTCTAACACAACCATAAATAGATCGGCCGCTCCTGTGGTCGATAATAAAACTATTTCAAAGAAGTGACGTCACATCCTTCACTTCGGGTTTTCAGGACAAGTTCTCGGTGATTTTACTGTCAAGAATGTCGATCCAGCCATTTACATTCTATATACATGCAATTATTTAAGGAATATTGTCCTTGATGTGCAATTTAAATTTTTTTCCTAGGTCCTGTAATATATTAAAGCAATATGAGCTGCATTTTTGAGAATTTTATTTTGCTGTACTGTTTTGATGTAATTTAAACTTTATAGGCCAAAAACTGTCCATTCGGTGAGAAAAAAAGAACTGCTGGAGGGCCGTTAGGCCCGACAATTATTATAGTTCTTTTTACTTACAGAATGGACAATTTTCGGCCTATAACTTACATAAAACATTTACTCTATTGTATTCATAATGTACATGTACTCTCTTAGAATTGTTTCTCATCCATTGTTTTAAGTAGGCATTGTCTACTTATTGGACTGTCTCAGGTAAAGATTGTTTACAATCAAAAGAAACTTACATTTATTGTAATTGTTAACTTAGTGGACAGTTATAGGTAAGTGTTGTTTTTAAATAAGTGAATAAAGAATAAAGATTAAACACAAAGCATGAGATTCGAACACCATTTTCTTGTGATTGTGAATGTTGAAAACATGTAATTTCTTCCGAGGGAGAAAGCATATTTCTGATGCAAAACAAATTCGGATATGCTGAGTTATTTAGTAGTAATGCAGGTGTCATTCTCAAGTGATATTTTGGATTTTGAGCTTAGGATTATCAAGATAATAAACTTTGAACTCAAAGTGGATGTGTTTTTTTTTTCAAATATTTCTCAACTTTTGGTCAAGGCTATTTAAGGATGCAGAAAAACAAAGGGAACGTTGAGATATTTCCGTAATTAAATCAACAATATTTAGATGATTTAGAATAGAATTATCGCAGAAAATGGAGCAGAAATATAAATGGGCAGTGACTGTGCTCTTTTAACTGACAATGTTACACAGTACCAGACCTGTTTACTCTTACGATTTCGCCGTATTTTTTACGGATTTTGAGTCCAAAATACGTCTCACGTTTGGTCTTATGAAAATACGGAAGTCGGAAATCCGTTTGTTTGGACTCTAGCAGTTAGTTTTCGTTATGATCTGTCTCAGTTGAAGCTTTTTAATCGCTAAAAAAAGAGAGAGATTTCAAACACTTGTCATGTTGGGTTGCTAAAACGCGGTGGTTTAAAAAAAAAAAGACAAAAATGATAATCAAAAATGTAGTTGTTCTCTAGTAACATATTTAAAATTGATGGAAAGTGAAATCTTACTGGCAAATGCTAAATATCTCACTGACAAATCAATTAAAAACTAGTGAGAGACAACAATATGGGTAAACAGGTCTGCAGTACCCAACGTTAATGTTTTCATGATTAAGGACATCACAATGTTGGATGATAAAGAAATAAGTCAGACACAAATCGGGCGAAGACTATTAACCAAACACCCTTACATTCCTATAATAAAAGAAACGATGCACTCCTGCATTAAGTGAGCAAAATTATTCAGAGTACTAGAAGGTGTGATTGATTCTTGCCAGGAAGACATTAAAAAGGGGAAGTGATATCCCCAGTGTGTTGTTGGTGCAAGTTACATTCCAACAGATTTCGGAGATATTTCCTTAAATTTAAGTTTTGACATTCATTGTGAGTTGGAATATACATTTCATCATTAATCGGAACAATTACATAGTTTTAATTGTTGTTTCTTTGATTTGGCACATATATTTCATTACATTGTGAAACATTTGGATTCATTGCTAAAAAATATTTATTTGTGTCTGTTGTGTTTTCTCAATCCAATAACTTAATACCTGTAGCCGTCAGTAAGTTATTAAACACTGTCCATTAATTTTAATAATGGACAGATTTTTTTTAACTTATTTGACAGTTACAGGTAACTTACTGGACTGTCTTGGACCTTTCAAAAAATAGAAAGTATTAAAAGAACAAAAGATGATAGTATACTAATGATTTAAGATCAGTTAGACAAAAATAAAGTATTAAATCCAATGTACAGGACGACAATAATGTAACTTTGCTTCAATCAAAGCTTAGTTCTTCCATCACAAATATGAACAACAGAAGTTTATAAACGTTCTTTTTTCTGACATTGAATTAGTTAATTACAATATTACAACACATATTTCCGACATCGACGTTTCAGCTCTTATTGCTTTTAAGGAAAGAAACATTAGGACGTAAGTTGCCTTGAACTTGAAATAAAGCGGCGCTTAAAAAATATTTTACATCTTTAAGATCAAACAACCCTGTCTGCATGCAGAAAAGGAATTCAACAATCAAGTTAATCGTTGATCATTTCATTAAGAAAGAAAATTTTCTTTATAATACATGTATTTCTAATATTATTTAAAATGGAGTTATTTTTAATGTACAATTACGAAGCTTATTGTTGTTCAAAGCTACCCTCAGCATCCCAATAAGTTATTGTATTCTGACATTTCATCGATATTTCAAACTGATCTAGGTTGTTTACATCTTATTCAGCATTACGTTACGTTTGCCTACGTAAGTCTATTGTACTGGAATGCGCATGCTCAAATTAACAGTAGGCATAAAGGGATTGATTGATTGATTGTATGTTGTTTAACGTCCCATTCGCAATTTTTCACCCAAATGAAGACGTCACCGCATGCCAGTGAAGGGCTTCAAAATTAGAACTATACTCGGCACTCAGGGACATTGAGCAGTGAGGGTTCTTTATCGTGCCAACGTCTACCGTGACATGGGACCTCGGTTTTTAAGGTCTCATCCGAAGGACCCGTGACTTACTTTTAGTGCTGGGCGCCTGGCAAAGGAACAGTCACTACCTATGTTTACGTCTTAGGTTTGACGCGGCGCGGCGAACAAGAATCGAACCTGGGCTTCCCGATCACGAAGCGAGCGTCCTACCACTAGGCTACCGTGACCGGTTGGCATAAAGGAAAAAGATACCGTTAACTTTGTATCATCATCTGAATATATACGTATTTTCTGAAGTTTCGTCTCTATCGTCTACTCTGTAAAAAATTAAAGTACATTAGGTCTTATTCTGTCGGAGCCTCTTATAGTTACTGAGTGAGGAGCTAAAACACGATCTTCATTGAATGCAACATACGGTATAACCTAAAATAAACTACAGAAAAGAGAATCAACTCCGTCTAGCCAGTACTTTAATTAAAAAGAAGCGATTTAATTTCAACGTGCAAAATTTTAACTTCTGGTGGTGTGAATTTTTTCCGAGCTTGCCGATGCTCATAATAATTACTGGGTCCATACAACAAATGATGGCCTAGATAAATGTAAAACTAGCAAATCACATTCAGAAATTGACAAAATGTAATGTGCTACATAGGAGTTCATAGAATGTTGTATATAGTGACAAACAAATGTGAGTATCTTATATCGCAATCTTGCAAATTGTTTTATTGTACCTAACAAAACAAAATGGCTTTTATTGCAAAATGTTGATAAGTGTTATCTTCGATAATTTCCTGATAATAATTGATTTGTACTTTATGAATTTTATTAAACATTTTGGGGGAATAAAAATTACTTGATAGCGAAAAAAAAAACATTTCAACATTTCCCTTTAAAATATTATAACATTTCGATATACATGTACCGACACATATTTTTCGATAACGACTCAACGGTACTCAAAGCCATCAGTCTCTCTCAACACATAAAAACATTCAGCGTTGTGATGTACGTACATCATACTGTATTCATACATGTACAACACCTGTTTCATATCTTTGATCCCAGTCAGAGTATATTATACATATCAGCCTCAATTACAAGTGATCTTTCTGTATATGTTTGTTTATTGTTTAACGTCCCTCTCGAGAATTTTTCACTCATATGGAGACGCCACCACTTGCCGGCGGAGAGCTGCAAATTTTTAACTATACTCGGCACTTAGGGCCATTGAGCAATGAGGGATCTATTTCG